ATTGTTGAGGTATCCCAAGCTTTATTTACTTCTTTATCTTCCGTACCCAGCACTCTCCATTTGCCCCTTCTTCCGACCTGTAATAGTCCCTCAAGCAACTTGGATGTCGCTCGACTTAGGTCGTTGCCAAATAACACTAAGTAATGTACCACGAAATGGATTGCAGGTTCTAGAGCCCCGTTAATCATCGAAGCTGGGTGCCTTCAACGTTAGGACTCTGATGCAGGTAGGTCAATAAGCGTGTTTGGCGCGTTCAGTGGAATCCTTGGGGACCGATATTTCGAATTCAGGATCCTACTACTATAAGCCACCTGAACGCGCCAGATTTTTCTTCGAGATACGTTCTTCGCACATCACGTGATGACAAAACCTGCGTGGGGTAGGTATTGTACTCAGTAACACGGCTGCGTCGTCTCTTATCGACTGGATTTCCGTCAATAGTAGTTTATGAACAGTTCGTTCCCAGGATTCAATCAACGTCTTGAAGGGAAGCAATACCAGGTGTTTGTTCGTCGTATCAGCATATGCACCTGCCAATTGCAGTTCTGATACACAAAAGGACGCTTTCTACGATGAACTCACCGATCTCATTCGGGTGAGTCGAAGCTCCGACTTAGTTTTACTTGCAAGTGACTTTGATGCGCAGATTGCAAAACTGAACGCATCAGAAGCCTGTTTAGGTGGTAGTTGTGCTCTGTCCTGCCACCGAACAGATGATGGCGATTGACTTCAGTTCTGCGCAGACCATCATCTGTTCCTATCTAGTACCAACTTCCGACATAGCTCTAGACGGACAGTAACGTGGTGCTCCGGTTCAACTGGTATGCTAACTCAAATCGACCACATAGCAGTAAGCTACGTTTGACGTGGCTCAGTACAAAACTGCAGGTCCTATTGGACCACCTGCGCATTAGTTTGATGGATTTCACTGTTCGACTGGCTGGTCGACGACAAAACCAGCAAACTCAGATAGCTCGTCATCGACTGTCCGTTCCGACAGTCTCCCTTTGTACAGTTTTTTTTGTATAAAATTGCATGTACATAGAGTTCAATTTTTAGCCAAAACTTATCTTATATCTTAGCTCATCAAAAAGAAAGAAACAATACGTCATAAACCATTTAACATTCAAAAGTTGCTGTCAGCGAAATAAAAAGCTGTGGAACCTCCCTAAAATTCGATGCGCTAGGGCAAGAAACTATATACTAAACGTTTTGAACAGCGAGGGTGGCATTTGGATAGACTGCCATGTATGTCCGAAGACAATTTATGCAAGCACCAAAGCTTCCCTAGCCCACTCCACACACGAACCGTATCACAAGTAATATTGATGATCAGACAAGTGGACACACAACTGGGTGGTCGTGTTGAATCCGATTTCCGGTCTCACGACGAAATCGTTTCTAGTAATCTGTGATATGATGAGATTTTATTTTCTTAATACAATTTTATTCCTAAGTAGTGATACATATTGGGGTGTATTGGCATAAATACGAATATCTGAAAACGAGCTTGTTCGCCCGTCTATTGTTTTGTTTAAAGGACAAGTGTCTAGGCGCGGCTCTAACAACGTTACTACTAGTGGGATCTTCTGTGCAAATGTTACACTTGCGAACAAGTGTAGTTCACACAGTTTTGTATATAGACCTCCATGGGGTATAGGAGACACACTTCTGATAATCGACAGTCCACGGCGATGAATCTCTCTTAAGCAGACCAGGGCAAACCATTGGGAGATAATGAAGAGGAATAAGGAAAATACATGGATAAAATAAGTTAAATTATTTCCTGATTGACTTAGAACTGTGTGAGTCTACAAATTTGAAAAGACTTCTGGGCTTTCCTTAAGCAGTTACCAATGTGTTATATCCATCTCAAATTTGTACCCATGACAACTTTTAAATGTACAATACTATCTATATAGTGGTCATGTGTTTATAAAAGATGGATGGACGAACCTGGAGAGGATAAAGGTGCACTGGAAGCACTCGAATAAATTGGGGTCAATCTAGATCGAACAGAAAAATGATGAACATGGGACATATTGCCTCCGTCACCGATGCTGACCTTTTGCTCTCCCATGTTTGTTGTGAAAATATCTCCATACGAAGACATTGAGTTGAAATTCCTTTGTTAGAGGCTTTTTAAGACCCTTGGTAGTATGCGAGCATTTCTCACGGGAAGAGAATAGTTACAACCCTGTTTCTTTTTCTGATCGGATAAATCGCGTGGGCCGGCCGTTCCAGCTGTCAGAATTCGCTACTGATCACGGAATAAAGAGCAATGTCNTGTCTAACGCACGTTTAACTTTGCGGTATCCTTCCGTCTTGCAATTTGGCCCCTCAAACTAGTTTTGCAAACAACCGACGTATTCATTGCTCAGTCACTATTTTTCGTAAGGTTCCATACATGCTTATCCTCCCTAGACACTTCCATGCTCTCCACATTGGTCTCTACTGCTCTTATTCTACTTTGCGTATATACAACCAAGCTAATTGTACATGTCCAATTCATGTTGCCTCATATCAGCCTTCTAGATAAAGGCGTGAAATGAAATTATTTCCTTCCTTTGCAACATCCTGTGTTGATGTTTTGATCCGATTTTGTTTTGTTGAATACTAGCACAAGTTGGAATGCAGAAAAATTCCTATTTATTGTGCATGATCCCTCGACGTCTTTAACTACAAGTCCCGGTAAACTTACGGAGTTTCTATCTAAACTTCCTTTTGTCGCGAAACCTCTTCACGGTTATGGAATGAGATCTTTTAGGTTACCTTCCGCGTTCAGATTACTAAATTAACGTACAAAACATCATTACTCTGGTGCAATGAGTCTCGGTTCCTGTTGGAGAAACCATTTACCATTCACTTCCTTGCACCAGCTTAGCTTGGCGTTTTCCAGCTACTTAAAAAATCGACTGAAAGAGAAGTAAAAAACGGTGTAAAATCAAGATACAGAATATAAACAAATGAAATATGCGCCAAATTGGGTAGATAAACTGGATTCACTGTTCAGGACACAGTCACGATATCCGACTTCTTTGATCGTGGGTTAGGTTGGTTCCGGAGTCTAATTCTCGAAGGCTAACGTAACCCGGATGACTATGTTCCTAACCAGTTCCTTCAAGCCGGACATGGTTTGAACACCCTTGTTTAACCTTTATCCACTTACGTTGAAACTAGTCGAAATGTTGTATTAGCTCTACCCTTCATGAATAACGACATGCTGTGGCGTTTAAAACGTTTGAACCATCGATTGGTCCAAAAGACCAAAGTCCCGTATTACCGATAACCAGTTTACTAATCGAGGCAAGCGATGAAAGAAATAGGGTTCGAAGGTGACCCACGAATGTACGAAGCTGTCTTTGAACTTACTGGGGACATTCTGGTGTAGGGTTTAAAACCATGTAAACTGTTTCACTCTAAGATATCCCGGTATCAATTTATTGTCACAGTACCAAGTTAATGTAATCTGTTATTAATTCTAGATGCCCTGTTATTACGCGAACCGTATCTTGTGAAATACAACGGTGAACCCTGAAGCATCGGCATCTATTTGACATTCTCACGTCCACAAACAATTGGTTTTCGCAACGCGCCGCACGAAGCCAACTCCGATCCACGTGAGGGTGTAGAGGAGATCAGAATTTTAGCCACCATCCTATCCCCTCATTTTGACAGATCTGTTGCTTCAGAGCTCGTCTCTGTGCTCCACATGATACGGTCCACGAGGGATAGGACATCTTGGTGGTACTGGAACATTTAGGATTAGAATGGGAGATATCTTAAGCTCTCACATTGTCCTGTGACAGCATGATGTACCTTTTTTGGCACATTCCCAAAATTAACACGTTTTCGCGCAATTTTATTTTCAAAATAGTTTATTGTAAACGTGCAGAAGATCGAATGTGGGTCATACGTTCTGCTTCATCAATTGCAAGACCCCGTGGTTAGCCTGTTTGACGAAACTCCCGGACTTGCCTCCATGCTTTTCAAGCAGTTCAATTTGTGAAATCACAATACCACTGGGTTCCACTGATTTGAGCATATCGTAAGTTGTAAGTGCCGCCACAGCCACAGCAGTCAGTGCTTCCATTTCCACGCCGGTTGCTTTCCCGACAGCTTTGACTACTGACTGAATTCTGACTGTAGTCCCTTCTAACCGAAAGTTTATCTGAACCATGGTCAAAGGGATCTGAAAGTAACAGTAAAAATAGTCACCGAAAGAGTAAACTATTTCCTTAAGGGGCGTACAAGTAAAAATGAACTGTTAATTGTTGTACAAACTGAACTAAACGTACACCTCAACTGTAGACTGGCTTCCTAGCGGTTGCAAATAAAACAGTATTGTTTCTGAGTAGATGCTTTAAGAAAGGAACCAGAAATATACACCGGTGTCGCTCGGTTCACACAAACAGAAAGTCATTCCTAATGACTGGACAGTGTCTCAGATACAGTAAAGAATACCCAAAGTATTCGAACCCAATTTCAATCTCTAAACATCTGTGATCATTTGAAAAACTTTCATCAACATTATCAGAAAACTCCAGAATGATCCGAGTGAAATTAGTGCACTTATATCATTCCTTACTCGCCACACCGATTCGACAAACAATACTGTTCTACTTCCAAGAATTTCAAGACAAGACATGAGGAGAAACTCCGAATTTCTTAAGCCGAACAAAAGATCTGGTACAATGACCCTGACAAAAAGACAGGCCACATAATAAAAATGAACGAACTGTCATTGGTTGGGAGAAACTTATCAGTCGAAAAAAGCGTCGGATATCAGTCACCTCATCGAAGACTCAGTATAAGCAAATAACTAGGTAATTGGATAGAAAGTGAGATATCCCGAATGGGGATTCACGTAAAGTTCCTCAGAACTGGATTCAACCCTATTCTGTCGAAAAAAAACAGTATCAATCATTGTTCGAGATAAAGGTTGATTGGAGTTTAGGTGGACTCAGTCTGAATCTATCGCAAAACTACCGAATAGCGGTATTTTGTTCTCGTCTTCTAGTGTGACAGGCGACCTTTACGCATCTGGATTTTAGTGTCTTTATTAGTTCTTTTTTTAAAAATTAGTCTTTCTGTCTCTCCCCTTTAATGTGGACAAAACGTGGTTAACTGTCGCGATTTTGTGATTCCTCTATGTCGCTTATTACTATTTTGCGGCGATAGTTTTTATCTTCTACAGTTATAATTGCACGAAAATTAGTTCCAAAACTACTGATGTATTAGGAGAGTGGAAATTCGGAAAAAATGTTTCCGACAGGAGAAGAGAGGAGCTCAGATAACCATTCCAAAGACAACGCTACTGCCGCACGTAAATAATTTCACTTTGAATAAACACACAGGGACAACAGATGAGAAATCGAAGTTAATTGGCACCACTCACGGTTGTAACTGGTGGTAATAGTTTACTAGTCTTTGTTTAACCCACCTGGTGGCACAGCGGTATCAAGTGAGAAGTTTGCTTGGCTGCTTGTATACCCGCAAGACGAGCAACTTGCATCACGTTACCCTTGGGTGTATTCCAGTTTGCTTCTGCGGTGTTGGTAAAGAGTGCTTTGCGAATGGATTCCGTGATTGTTACCTTGCCTTCAGCCATGGCCCAGCGGATCAATGAATCCCCGGTGGTGTCTTGACTCACCCTGTCCAAATTGCGCATCGCCTTTTCGGTTATATCTACCATCTTTGCTCCACCATCTATTGGGTTGTAGTGAGTGAGCTGCCATGCAATAAAGGTAATCCATTACGTGAGAAGCGTCAGTCAGATACTATGCGGACTTGCAAGCTGTTCAGATTTGTGAGGATGAGCATATCAACTTTTATTAAGACTCTTTAAACAGAAGTGTAGTTGTTCTGCTTTCATTAAACGAACCCGAAGAAATTTTATCGTATCAGTCGGTTCTGGGTTGTTCAAACTTGATTCAATTACCCCTAAGGCAAAGCATTTGAACTACTAAAACTCACAGAACTAATGAGACTTAAGTATACGAATCGATGATAAATGATTTATTGTATGAATTCACCAGCAAACCTCTGTATCATTAAGGTTCGGATTAAGCGAAAGCGAACACATACGGCTAGTCCATCCACGAGTCGAATCCGTTATTGAGGTCGCGGATAAAATCCATTGATTCTACCCGAACATTGCAGTCAGGAAATGTGAGATATTGTTGTAAGATCACAAATCATTTAGTTAACTACTGTGAAGCTTCATTCCGGGGTATCAACTTACCGCGGGGTTCGCTGTGCAAATCAGATAAGTGTGAGAAGCATAACATCGACAAAGCACATCGTGATCTATGGGGCTGGTCACTCGTGACATGACAACTGTCGTAAGTGGTATATTTCCATCGTTTTGCCTGGGCAACATGTAACCTAGTTCATCTCATTTGAATTGAGAAAAAGGCTTCATCGAGAAATATACTGTTTGATGGTGTAGATTAGTACCTCCACGAATGAGCCTTGTATCTATCTGAACAGGTACACATTAGATGAGGTACTTTATTCCTGTGTGTTATACGTACTATTAGAGTGGGTCATTCCGTTCTGATTTAAGAAAACCGAGTTCCTGTTTGTTTACTCATAACGGTTATCATTCTCAAAGATATCCGTGCATTCCACCTCTAATCATGAAAATATATTTGTAAACAGTGCTTGATTCTTTAGTTTCTGATTCACAAAAATCTCGGACTCCTATGTGTCTTCCGAGATGCGTTATTGTTTCTCTTTGTACTTACCTTATTTTTTCCGTCATTTAGTGAAGAATTGAACCTGGCTCCGAACGAGCCACAAGACAATCGGATTTGTGAAATACTGAAGAGGTATGTCAGAGATATCTTGTTGCTCATAATTGTCACTCATAGAGACCCCTCGCGATGAAGAACAGTGACAGGCTAAAAATTGATCATCAGGTTTACTTGCGTGCAAAAAGAAGACTAACAATTAACATGTCGACCGTAATTATTCAGAACTAGATCGAAATTTCTACTGAAAACACACTCGTGATTCAGGGAAAATTGCATCTGGAAGGTTTTCGGTAAAGAAATGTATATATGATCTCAGCTAATGTGTCCCGTTTGAACGACAAAGAAATTTGCACGGATTTTTTTCTTAACCCCGGCATTTTGTAAAGAGTTTTCCGTGCACTGAATCATTTTGTTGATTGAATGCTCCGGATACCGGTTATCTACAAAGATTGATTTTGTAGTACGGAGCTCTTCTCCTAGCGTGTCCTCACTGCGGATCTGTCTTGTCCTGTCCGCTAGGCAAAGAACCATGTTCCTTTTTACCTTCAGTGGCACAAAGCTTCGAAAATGGATGTATTGATCTTTCCAAGTTGCATTTCTATGCATAATGTCGAACCGAACCATCTGATCGACGGGTGATGCCGACATCTGGAAACGGTAATTTGTTGTTACACTCCATTTCTAATATAAATTTTATGTTGGTTTATGCGGTTTTGAACCTGTTCAGTAGTTTCGTTGCGTTTATCACGCAATAAATATCGTCTGCGTACCGCGCGTATAGTAAACAGTCTTCGATGGGTGACTAATTGAATGTTTCGCCGGTTATGCACAAACCAATAACGTAGAGCTCGGCCTCCCTTCGGATGACCTTAAATAACTGCTTTATTTCTGTACGTATAACGTTCATTTCAAGTTTACCAATGAGATCTATCGACAAAAGGATGGCGTGGCCATAGGGTCTCCTCTAGGACCGCTTTTCGCGGACTTTATGGCGAAACTTGGAAACACTCAATTACAGTCATCCAGTTCATCCTCTCAAGTCCCTTCCTTAGTGCTTCCTTGTAAATCAGCAAGACGCGGTCCGCTGCTAAAATGTGCTTATTGTTACCCAAAATAGAATGAAGGAATCATGAATTCGGCCTTTCACCTCAGGCCGTTTTATCTATTCATTTCAGTGATGCCTTACTACTTCAGTCAATGTTGCATTGCTATTTTTCGGACGGTGCTCGGAGCTTAATCCGTGTTTCCACATCCAAACTGATTACTGATAAACACGGAAGTAGTCAAGTTCTAAATACTGTTATCAAAGTTAACATTTTTGCGCGCATTAAACAGTCAGTGGTCCTAATGTACTGCAGTAGAATGGGTGACAGGTTGAAGTTATACGGATGAAATGTGGTCGCTAAATAGAGCTATCAGTGCACATGCAGTCTTTAACTGCACGTTGCACCAATTGCCGATGGATCCTTTTCAAGAAGGGGGTAATATAGTGAATGACGATGAACTGCGCGCTCGAAAAACACGAGGATTAGCAATATAGTTGACGTAGTTCGTACCACGAGTGAAAAGAGAACTGAAATATGTGAACCAAATAAATTTATATTTCCCTGGTTTCATTTGTTACAATGACAGTTTATGTTCCTTTTTCCTTCAACCACCAATACGCACCATGGAACGGTTATTTCCTGTGGCCAGATTCTCCATTCCTTTTTTGTCAGCATAACAGGTGTTTAGGTATGCAAATGGGTTGGAACGGTAAAGATTAGTAAAGTACGAAGTAAGTAAGTAGCAAAATACACACAATAATTAAGTGAAAAAAATTCGGATCTGTCATCAGCAGTGGGATAGAATTGGGAAACTCGCAGACAGAACACAATTGTTGCACTGATTCGGAACTGGACAGCAACTATGTTGGTTTTTCACCAAAACAGATCAACAGATCTTTTCGGGTGTATGGGACAGAGATAAGCATGTTTAAGATGTCTACTTGCTCCGTCTTCCACCCTCGCTGAATACGGTTGTTGATCATACTAATAAGAACTGGCTCTTCCTAATGTGATTTTATCACATTACAAGTTACACAACTGAGGTGTCCAATCCCTGGCTACTTGAAGTGAAAAACCCTTTTTCTGCTGTGCCTATTTGTGTTTTCTAAAGTTGAGACTTTGACGCAGTTCATTTACCACATTTGTGGGTCTAGATACATATTTTTTTGTCATAATGATCGAATGACATACACATTATCACGTGGAGTTCTTTCTCTTGGCTTCATTCACTACTAAACACATTTCAATCATGCGATGCAAATATTTGTGATAACCGACAAAGAGCACTGGACAGTTGTTTCGTCCTGTTTGAGACTCATCAGTAGTGTGTACTTTTTGTGTCCCTATCAGGACCGTGTAGCTCGGGTTTGAAGTCCCAACCTGAACGTTCGCGATTCGAGTCCTGACAGGGACATAAGAAGTACGCACTGCTGACGAGTCCCAAATAGGACAAAACAGCTGTCCAGTGCTCTTTGTCGGTTGTCAAAAATATTTCCATCACATATAAATGCATGAAATTGTGGGGAATTAACAATCTCCTAAGGAGTGAAACCCACACCCAATCGAATGGGCTAATCCATGCTTGCTACTCTAACATTTCAATCATGGTTTGAACACGAAGTAATGGTTAGGCGTTTACATAGACTGGAGTGTCTAGTGTTTTCCGTTGAGCCTCATAACCGATATTCATCCGGATTTCAGGCTTGGTTCATGCTTGCCTTTCCAGTTTAAAATACGAATTGGACACCAGAAAGATCGCCTAGAACAGTCACTATAGACCGCTCTGGAATCAGTCACCCGCACTTACCGACAGCATATGTTTCTCGATGTCTACTGTTTAACATAATCTTCCCCATTTTGTCAGATATTAAGTGAAGCAACAAGTAGACCCCTGATCCCTGTAGTAGATTAAAGAACGGATTGAAAGTAGCACACCAATAAAGTATGTTTTAAAAACTCGGGTTTTTCACAATCATTGAACGGTATACTGGAAGTAAGACAATTCTTTTCCTGAAGCTAAGTGGCAACACAGAGATACAGCTTGAGTACCGACATTGGGGGATCTTCATGCCCTTCATGGATTAGACAAGTCAATCACAACGGAGTGCGTGACAATAGCGTGTATAGTTATGACATCCTTAACAAAGGACCGTATACGCACGGAATAAGACTTATTTAACGGATCGGATTACCCCAAGGAGTACATTTCTAGTAACGCAATACAGTGATGAACAAGTTCGTTTCCAGTAGTTCGGATTTATTCCAATACACTACCAATGAGGAATAAACTTTTCTTAGGAAAACGAAGTCACAAATTACCATCATTCATTTCACCACGAGACCGGAAATCAGATTCACTATCAATACATAGTTGTTTATTCACTCATCCGATTATGGATATTACTTGTAAAATAGTTGGGTGGGTCAGGGAAGTTCAAGTACCTGAAAATGGTTTTTGGAGCACATCGGGCTGGATGGAATTTTCTTCATTTGGACTCAGCGACAACAGACAGATCACTAAAAGACTATCCGGAAGGTAATTTAAAGGACAACGACTAAATAACAGACTGAAATAATTCACGAAAGCACATCAGTAATCACTGCTTCGCATATATAGCATTGCGAAACGCCGGTATTATTTCTCCTAATGTGAGTAACACCTTGCAAAAGTATCTNCTAGTAAAACAGAACACCTCAACTTCGCATTGTAGCTCCTGGCTTCACCTTTTCGTGGTCTGAATCTACTGTGCCAAGATTAGATCAGAGCATCAGGATATGCCATGCTGTCACTTCATGGGTGAACATAAACAGCTGGATCCGCGTAATTTGCACTTCCGGGTTTCGCCTATACCAAATACTTGTATCTAGGGCTGCAACATCAAGCATGTTTGCCCACACTGCTGTACTCTGTCTTTGCTCATCTAGTGGTACATTTTTCCAGCACAGCATGCATCACAGCAACTCTAAACTTGTTTTCTTTATAGAACGAAACGACGATGGTTTTTTTTTCCTGATTGTTTCATCTACGCAGTGCTTCGATTAATTAAAACAACTACTTTAAGTTTTTAAGTATGGAAGTGACCAAGCAGCTGTCTTTTTGTTGGTGATGTGTTCTCCGAGTTGGAACTGTTGTTCGCAGACGTTTCGTAGCCAGACTAGGCAACATCATCAGTGCAACTTCGAAGTTGCACTGCACACACCAACCAAGCAGCTGTCTCTTTTTAACTTCAGCTGCCCAGACTTCAATGGTGATTCTGTGATGCTTTGGACTGCTGTTTTCGCGAACGCTAAATCACGACTGTAGATCTTCCAAAGAAAGCAAACAAATGGCTCGTACATCATAACTTTGATCGACCTCCTATGTGTTGCGAGTCGAGAAGATCGGCACGTTTCCATACTTCCCCAACCGTATGACAACACCGTACACATTGATAGAGTCGGTACAATGTGTTCATTGTACTGAGTTTATGAATATCTTATATGATCCCTGTCATAATTAAAAAACAATGTGTTTGCAACACCGATAATGT